CAGGGTTAGGATTAGGGTTAGGCCAACGTAAACCATGGGATGAATGTAACGGGTGGGGTTAGGGTTAGCTGACGTGGGATGAATTAGGTAGGGTTAGGGTTAGGGTCAGGTTCTAGGGTTAGGGTTAGGGTTAGCCCGACCGTGGGAAGAATTTAACGGCTGGGGTTAGGGTTAGCTGACGTGGTATGAATTAGATAGGGTTAGGGTTAGGTGTTAGGATTACGGTTAGGGTTAGGGTTCAGGCTAGGCCGACCGTGGGATGAATCTAATGGGTGGGGTTAGGGTTAGCCCGACCGTCGGAAGAATTTAACACGTGGGGTTAGGGTAGGGTTAGGGTTAGGCCCAACGTTGTATGAAGTGAACAGGTGGGGTTAGGGTTAGACCGACCGTCAGAGAAATTAACGGGTAGGGTTAGGATTAGCTAATGTGGGATGGTTTTGGCAGGGTTAGGGTTAGGCGGTTTAGGGCAGGGTTAGGGTTACGTGGGATGAATTAGGTAGGGTTAGAGTTAGGTGTTAGGGTTAGGGTTACAGTTAGGGTTAGGGTTCATGCTAGGCCGACCATGGGATGAATCTAACGGGTGGGTTAGGGTTAACTGACGTGGGATGAATTAGGTAGGGTTACAGTTAGGGTCAGGTTCTAGGGTTAGGGTTAGCCCGACCGTGGGAAGAATTTAACGGCTGGGGTTAGGGTTAGCTGACGTGGTATGAATTAGGTAGGGTTGGGGTTAGGTGTTAGGGTTACGGTTAGGTGTTAGGGTTAGGGTTCAAGGTAGGCCTACCGTGGGATGAATCTAATGGGTGGGGTTAGGGTCAGGGTTAGCCCGACCGTCGGAAGAATCTAACGGGTGGGGTTAGGGTTAGGCTGATTGTGTAGTGATGAGGTTTAGGCCGATCTTCAGATGAATCTAACACGTGGGGTTAGGGTAGGGTAGGGTTAGGGTTAGGCCCAACGTTGTATGAAGTGAACAGGTGGGGTTAGGGTTAGACCGACCGTCGGAGAAATTAACGGGTAGGGTTAGGGTTAGCTAATGTGGGATGGTTTTGACAGGGTCAGGGTTAGACCGACCATATAATGAATGGTTTAGGTTTTAGGGTTCATGCTAGGCCAACTGTCGGATAATGGTAAGTGGTGGGGTTAGGGTTAGCTGA